TGGTGCAGGCCTCTCTCACTGTTGGAATCCCTTGTCCTAGGGATCTGTCACCGGACTTGTCGCCAGGGGTGCCAGTTCCTTCTCCCTACAGGGTGGAGGTCCATGGCATAGCATTTATGGATGTGTTTGAAACTGCTACTACTTTCAGGCCATGTTGAAAAATGGCTTCAACACTGGAATTCTGCAAGGGGAGCCCAGGATCTCCTATTTATGTGTGTGGCATGGAGTCTGTCCTCACAACGGCACCCTCACGGGACCGCAGGCTCCTCAGCAGTGAAGTGCAGGCACTCAGGCCTCTCTCTCAGCTTGTTCTGGGGTACAAAGGAGAGATACGGGGGAGCCCTTGTGCATCTGGGAATTGTCATGTAAGAAGTTGTCAGGTGGTTGGGTTGTCCCCCCTCAAAATGTAGCAGAGCTTGGAGGATCATGCCAAACGTGGGGTAATGGTGTTTAGAATGTCTCCACTTGTCGGCCATGATACCTATGGTACAGCTAAAGTCCAGAGTTCACTCTGAACCCTAATACCTGTGTGGGGTGTGATTTCAGACTCTTTCCTATTTGACCTGGTCAGTCACACCTTTGGGACTGAAGGTGAGCGGCTGCTGTGTGGCTAGGCCCCGAGTGGCCCTCAGCTCTTATCTTGGTCCCACCCTAAAGGACCTTACCTCTGTCTCTAACCCTTCATATGGAGGTATCCCCAGACATGGCATGGCAACTTCCTGGGGCTTTTGGCTACCCCGATGTGGGTCCTGATTGCTATCTGTGCTGGCCTCTGCAAATGTCTGGCAACGTGAAGGCACCTGGGGGGCTACCTCAGCTGGAGCTATGCTATGGGCTAAATTGTGTCCTTCCCCCACCTGCCAAATTCATGATGAAGTCCTAACCCCCAGGACCTCAGAATGTGACTATATTTGGAGATAGGATCTTTAAAGAGATAATTAAGGTTAAAGGAGTTAATTAGTGTGGGCCCTAATCCAATATGACTGGTGTCCTTATAAGAAGAGATTAGGACACAGACACTCACAGAGTGAAGTCCCAGGAAGAAGATAGCCATCTACAAGCTGAAGAGGGTGGTCTCAGAGGAAACTCAGCCAGGGACACTTTGATCTTACGCTTCCAGCCTCCAGAACTAGGAAAAAGTAAAATTCTATTGTTTAAGCTGCCCAGTCTGTGGCACTTTGTTAAGACAATCCTAATAGATTAATACAGGCTGTTAGCGCCTTTCCTTGCCTTCTCTTTCCCGCCCCTCCCCATGTTCCCAGGAAGAAACAGGACACAAGTTAAGGATCCAGAGCTTTATTATAGTCACAGAGCACAGAAGAGACCACTTGGGTCTCACTGAAGGCGTTTTTACCCTTTCCCCACGGGCACTCACCAGGCCAGGCCAACGGGAGGAAGAGGCACGGACAAGTTAGAAGCATAAATACAGGCTTGATTGGATCCCAGCTTCATGACTTATAAGATGTGACTTGAAGCAAGACGCTTAACCTCTCAGCCATGGCTTCATTGGTGAAATGGAGTAAATGATAGAACCTACCTCACTGGGTTGCTGTGAGGACTGAATGAGACAATGCCCATGAAAGTGTTTAGCACAGCGTCTGGCAAATTGTAAGTAGTCAGTGAGTGGAAGCTATTATTATTATTATTATTATTAGGAGCAAATCATATTTCTCCATGGTCAGGGCAGCTCCAGGATCTGTGTATGAGGGGTGGGGGGGTCTCATACTTTATAAATGTCTTCAATGAGGCCTAGCAGGAAGATAGCTGGAGACACGTGTGGGAGCCACCTGGTCCCTGGGAATGTGGGGACCAGACCCCAAGTGAGGATTCTGGGGCCACAGCACCTACTGTGTCTAACAACCCCATGAAAACCACTGGGATGAGTTTGTGAAAAGTTCTAATTTTGCAACTAAACCACTCCCGGTCTTTGGCATGAAGTCTTTGGCTTTCCCTATGTCTATTCACAGTGTCTTCTTTTGACTTTTGTAGTTTCTGCTTTGGGCTAAGGCATTGCCATAGGACACTGCACTTGGAATCAGTTCTAGCTCTGCCTTTTGCTGTCTGGGTGACCTTCGGGTGGTCACTTCACCTCTCTGAGCCTCACCAATTACACTGACCTTCAGGGAGTTTTGAAGCCAGGCTATGGAAATACATGTACACTGTAAGGGATGGGGGCATCACTGGTGATGAGATGATGGATGGGTCTTAAGTGGTCACCGGCTCAAAGGAATCTCAGCGTGTGTGTGTGTGTGTGTGTGTGTGTGTGTGTGTGTGTGTGTGTGTGTAGAGCCCCAGTGTTCCTGGAGTGGACAGAGGCAAGCATCACCACAAGAGGGCGCTGTGAACTTGTTTTGGTCTTCTCTACCTTGATGAAAAATGTTTTTATTTTTCTATGGCAGCATTCCAAATTGAACTAAGACGTACAGTTTTCAGTTCACCTAATTGCTTTAAGAAACTTTTAAAATAAATTCAGGTGCATTTATTAGTTTCTCTAGAATGCAGATACGATACTGTGGCCCCTACCATGGGGCATGCTGGGAAGTAGGGTGAAGGTGGATGGAGATGGGAAGAAACTTGTGCTTTACTGTGTCCTGGTTCAACCACTGCTCAGCTGAGTGCCTGGACAAATTTCCCAAGAGTACAACAGTGGTGAAGTTCCCATACCCAGCCTCACAGGGATGTTACGAAATGAACAAGATGGAAAGAAAAGCAACTTAAAGGTCAAGAACGCGGGCTGCAAGCCCTCTTACCTCCAGTGCAAGGCATTCCGCTTGACCCTCATGTTGTGCCTGAGCCAAGGCCCCACGGGGACATGGGAATGGGATGGGAAGGAGGCGAGTCCAGCTGTTAAACCATGACCTCAAGAACAGTATTTCCAGGAATCCCCATCTTAGCATCTAAGGGATTCCTGGGAAAACTGGACCGTGAGGACAAGGTAAGAGAGTGGCCTTCAGCACGCAGGCCCTGCCATGTCCCTACGGACCAGCTGGCGTTTTCTTCTGCATCCAGCCTCATCTGCAGAAGCCAGCGTGGGTGCCATGGATCGCAGGATGTTGCCGATTGCAGCAGGAGGAGTAGTGACTGGAACGTCAAGTGCCCTGGAAAATGCCTTCCCAGAAATCAAGGGCCACACTGTCGACCAGCAACCAGCTGGCAACCCAGTCCCCCCTTCCCGTGACAGCCATGGGTCATGTGTATCCCCGAGTCTCCAGTCAGAGGGAGGGTTTTGCTATAAATTAACTGGGCAGATCCGGTCCCCGGTCTCTGGTAACTTCCTCACTGGTGACCTCCAGCAAGTCACTTAACCTCGGTTTTCCTCAACTGTAAAATGGGGTAGTATAGAACCTACAGGGTACGGTGAAATGAACACAATTGGGAGGGTAGGGTAGGAAGAAGGGAATCCACAGGATTGACAGAAAGTGTCTGCGTCTGTCTTTGCTAAAAGTGACTCAAGATGTAAGGACAAGACCAGAGCAGGATTTATTCTGTTCTCTTCTTGCTCCCCCATCCCCAGGCTTCAAAGTCACATGCAATGGGTAAGAATACGGATCTGAAAGCAGATAGATTAGGCTACAACCCTAGCTCGACACAATTAATTTGTGACCTTGGGCAAGTTGCTTAACGGAGCCTCTGTTTTCGCATCTGTAAAACGCGTCAATTACATTGCCCACCTCCCAAGCTCATTGGGAGGTTAAATAAAATTGTGTTTAGTCCAGTGATTCTCCTCTGCTGTTCTTTGCTTGTCTCTCACAGTTAGCCTTTGTGAGAGGTCATAGATTTGTGAGATGCTTGGACTGATTTACGCAATCGCCTGGAGCCAAGGTTAGAAGCTCGAAGGCTGAAGAGACTGACTCAAAGCCCAGGACTTTTATCTTCAGGACTGAAAGATTTTGTCCAATTCACGAGTGATGATTGGGCGTCAGCCCTGAATCACTGATAGTAGCTATCCAGGACTTAGTGTTGAGAAGCTGCATCTGAGTGCTTCAAGAGTGGACACCTTGACAGATTTGCAGTGTCCGCTGTGGGCTCAGACGGAGGAAGCCGAGGAGGATGCTGGGGAACGGCCACCCCTGAATGCTCCGACACCTCATTTTACAGACAGACACACAGACAGACAGGCTGCAGGGCACAGAGGAGTCAGGACTTGCCCAGAATCACGAAGCACATGGTGGCACGGGTAGGACTTAAGTCCTGGAACTTCAGCACAAGCCGCTGACCGTATGGCGCCCGGAAATGCCCCCATCTTTCCAGGTGCCCGCAAGCACCACCCCCACTTACCGCTTCCAGGCCGCCGGCCGCAGAACAGCTTCTCCCTTCCTGAGCTACAGTGCTTCATCTCAGACTCCCAACTGACCAGAGATGCAGCACTGCACCTCAGGCTGGGAGACAGGGCGCCACGTGGCTCTGCGCCAGGACCCGACGGCAGGGAGTCCAGCCTAGGCAGGAGAGGGGCATTAGGGGGACCTCCGCTCCACCATCCAGCTCCTGCCCCAGAGATGGCTGTGGCTACCTGTCTGTGTGTCCCATCCTCAGCCTGGCATTTGAGTCCTCTGGGACCAAACCTCAACCTCCCTTTTCTTTTTTAAAGAAAGAGCTTTATGGAGCTACTCCCACTGCCCCGCCGCCCCATTTAAAGTGTACAGTGAAGTGGGTTTTGTTATAGTCACAAAGTTATGCAACCATTGCCACGACCAGTTTTCGAAAGTTTCATCCCTCCAAAAAGAAACTTCTTACCAGTCAGAGCCTCCCAGCTCCCCATCAGCCCTGGCTCTGAGTGGACCACATTCTGTCTCTATAGAGCTGCCTATTCTAGCCATTTCAATGAGAGGCATCTAATATGCTGACCCCAAGCCCCTCTTTTATGCTTGGTGCATCCCAGCCAAAGAGCGCATTCATGGAACTTGATATTTTATGCCATCAAACGTTTGCCTCGGCCTCCTACCTGGTCTCCCTTCTTCCAACCCTGCCCCCCACCACCACCCCTGGATGTCCCACCCATCCCTCCCAGACATCCTCCCAGAGTGATTTCATAAAATGCAAATATGGTCACCTCTCTCTCCTCCTTAAATCCAGAAAGGGCTTCCATTGCCCTCCGGCTAGACTCTGAAACCCTCACCGAAGGCTATGGTGCCAGTTCCATTTGGCTGCAGCCAACCTCTTCCTCTTGGGCCACTGCCCCATCCTTCCACTCCTCCAGGGAGCCTTGCACCCACGCCCTTAGGCTCCCAGCTGCCATGCTGCTTCCCTTCATGTGCTTAGTATTCACGCAAATGGCCACTTCTTCCGGAAGGCATTCCCCGACTTCCTCAGACATCAGGACACCCTGGTCATATCCTTAAACATCCCGTGCCCTCTTTCTAATCCTTTACCACAGCAGTTTTTGTTTAAGGCCACTTCCACTTGTGGACTGCATGATCCACCCACAAGGGAAGGGACCCTATCACCTGTACTCCCGCTGAAAGCAGCGCCAGGCAGTGTAGACGCCCTGAAGCATGGATTGAATGGCTGGATCACTTTCCTCAATCTCACTCTCTCTAGTGTCAGAGCTATTTGCATCTGTTCTGACTGGGCTGGATCTCCAGTTCCCTGGGGACAGCACCTACATCTTGTTAACTCGGAGGTGTCCCTGGGCCCTGCTGAGGCCTTTCTACACGATGAAGGGCGCATGCGTGCCATTTGGTGGATGATTGAACGGCCATGTAGTTAATTCATTCTCCTCTTTAGGCCTGAGTAAGCAGGCAGAGTCCCCCTTCACGCCTGCTCCTCACGGCCTCAGGGCACGCCCAGAGGACCCTCCTGCTTTGTTGGATGCCCACTATGGTGGCCTTGATGTCAGATAAAACGTACTTTCAGGGATGTTTGAAGGGTTAGGAGTGAGCAGGAAAAACACATACCTTCTTGAAAATAAAGTGTCTCCTATGCCTGCAGGAGAAATCTGAAATCAGGCCCTTGTCCCCTGGTCTGTCACTTGGGGAAGGTTAGTCCTCACGGCCCATTGAGGGGGCAGCCCTTTTCTGAGGCTTTTCCAACCAAAGAACTGCCTTCTTCTAACATGGAAATCTTGTAGGAACTTTTTCTAAACTGCATTTGGATAGGGAGTGATTGCAACATCAGTCCCCGCCTTGGGGGGGGGGGGCTGGACAGCCTAGAGCCTGTCTACTCCTGTCTCAGACGGCCCCCACCAGCGCTGCAAGAGAAAAAGGTCACCTGGCCCACATGCCGGTTTCAGTAAGAAGCCAGGGAGGGTTGTTCTGCAAAAGTGATCATCGGCTATCTGGACCCTGGCAGATAAGTCCAGCCCCTGCGTTCCTTGGTGTGTCGCTGTTTCTGAAGCCCTGTCACCCTGCTCATCTTTGACTTGCCACGAGCAGCGCAGGGAGCGAGTGATCTGGGGGATTCTGTGGCCTCGGCACTAACTAACTTTGGAAGACAGAGTATCTCAAGTCTGCCGGTTTGCTCTCAGTCCTGTTTACCAGCGGGGAGAAAGCCTCAGTTTGGTGCTCTCTTGTCTCTGACACTTTTCTAGATCCTTCTTTGCTCCCTCAGGCCCCAGGCCCAGGGCCTCTCAAGCCACAGTACCAGGGAAAAGGGTAAAAACACATTTTTACTGTCTGTCTTCTCACCCTCATCTCCCAATTACGGACAGTGTTACAGTTTTGCACTTATAGGAACGATGTACATTTAGGTACTAACAACAGCTCATCTTACATTTTAAGCTTTTATAATTGTTTGCAGATATGGCAAAAATAAAAAAGGGGGTAGCTGAGGGACTGCAGTCCTGCCACATCGTCAGAACAGCTGGTGAAGGCTGGCAGGGTGGTTATCACCCCTATATGGAGGGCCAGGGATGGGGAGGGGACGGTTCCAGGTCACAACCCAGCTTGAACTGGGGGAGCCAAGGACTATTTCCAGCACAGCCCACTGTCCCACTGGGCTCAGAATATGGCCTCAAAGATAGCAGCTCTCCTGGGTGTAGACACAGGAAGTAGATGGCAGCTGTCCCACGCTCCTGGGGAGAGGCTCTGACGCAGGGAGAGCAGGTTGAGGCGCGGCCTCTGACCAGGGGAGGGGCTGTGCCTCCATCTCCTCTGTGGCCATAGGCTGCCTACTTCTCGTCCTTTCTATCTACAACAATCACAGTGGCGCTGACCGTACTAAGAACGGTCACGTACTAAATGTTTTAATTGTGCTAATCCCCATGCATCCCCAAGGTGCCCTGGGAAGGGAATTTTCCAAGGGCAGGGAGCTGGGAGCTAAACTGGGACTCCTAACTCGGAACAGCTGGCCCCAGGGCCCTCATTTTTAAACTCGATGCCCAGCGCCTCACCCCCTGACCAATTATCCAATCCTTTGGGTTTGAGACAGGATCTTACCATTTCACCTGTCCATTCAGCAAACTGGGTACATCTTCTACAGACAAGCTGAGGGGAGACAGACTGAACCTGATGTGATCCTTGCCCTGGAGGAGGGCAGTCAGGCTGAAATGAAAGGAGAATGCCCCGGGCAAGGCAAATAGAGGACAGGCCCAGGTGGCACAAGAGAGCCCCAGAAAGGACTTAGAGGACAAAGAGGTTGCTGCCCCGGGAGAAAGCGGGGAGAGCTTTTTTTTTTTTTTTTAGAGGGCAGCGTCACTGGCCCTCACATGTGGGATCCGAATTGGGGCCCTCTGGCATCCCAAGCGAGTTCTTAACCATCGCGCCACTCGGCCGGCCCAAAACAGATTTTTTTTTGGGGGGGGGGAGAGCTTTCTTGAGGAGGTGGTGGTGCGGCTGGGCTAGGAGGACCTGGCTTTCTGGCCCGGAGCTCTTCCCTTGAGCCTTGGGTACCTGCTGCGCTGCCCCTGACCCCTGGTCTCCTTCAAATGAGGACCTCACAGAGAAGGGGTTTGGCAGCCCTTTTATTCCATTACCCCACGAGAGGCTCCTTCTCACTCTGGGTCCTCAGTCAGGGGATGGGGTCACTGGGGAGACTCAGGTTCTATCACCGATCAGTGAGATCACTTCTCACAGGTGCTTCCCTTCTCTGCGGCCCGGCTCTGTTTCCCTTTCTGTGAAAGGAGTCCGTTGAACAGGTGGCCTCAGCATCTTACCTGGCAGCATCTTACCTGGTGCTGGCTGTCAGCAGTCTGGGTGGTAACTCCCCGAGGATGGGCTGCTTTCCCTTCCGTGTTCCCCACTCTCTTCAGGAAATGTCACTGAGCCTGGGGGAGACTCTGTGTTCTGTCCGTAAGCTCCTGGGGGCTGGGACGGAGAAAATAAACAGTGGCTGTCTGGGTTTTCTCGCCAGGCCTGAGCCCGGAGGCCTCCCGGGCTCCTTCCCTTATATGGCCAGGCTGCTCTGGGCTGGGAGCTGGGGGCTGCACTCCCCACCTTCCACTGCCACTGAAATCTGGGGGCCACTGGTGGTCACCTGGGACTTGGGGGCTGCAGAGGTTGTGGGAGGGCTGAAGGTGGAGGGCAGCACCCAGGACATGCCCCTGTCGTCCCCTGTACAACCTGGCCCCTTGTCGTGGCCCTGGGCGGCTTGGGATAGAGCAGGTGGGGGATTTATATTGGGACAAGGCGTGAGGAGAAAGGGTATCCATCTGGTATCGACTTAACCCCCAACTCACGGCATGACGGTGGCCAAGCCCCTTCTTCTAGCCTCTGTTTCTACCTGTGAAAATAGAGGGTGTGGAAAATCCTAAGTAAGCTTCACAGTCAGCCCCCTGAGGTGAGAGCTTTTGTACCCCTATTTCACACAAGAAAAAGCAGGCTTGGAGAGGCTAATTGGACCACAGCTATCCTGATGAAAGGGAGCAAAGCAGGAGTTGAAATTGGGGCTGTCTGGATTCAGGGTCTGGGCTTTGAATGGGAAAATTGCTAAGGTCTCTCTTGGTGATAATATCCAACCACTCATGTGTGTAGTATGGAAAAGGGGTTCTGTTGGAGCTGCTCCCCGTGGAAGAACGGGGAGCCCCAGTGCCCAGTGGTCCAGTCCAAAGGAGGCAGAGCAGCGGGGGCAAAGGCGCTAAGCATTCATCTCGGTATCCCTAGCACCCCGAACAGGCTCAGGGCTCAGGAAAGGGAGTTGTAGAGTCACTGACTAAATGAATCTCAGTAGTCACATCTGTGCTATGGGTACAATCTCCTAACTCCCAGGCACATTTTGAGGATTAAACGCAACAATAGAGGAGAAAGCGCTGAAATGCCACCTTGATGGTGGCGTTGTCTTTCTGTTCACAAGTTCCTTCTTCCCTCTCAAGTGCCTGCCTGTGTCTCATCTCCAGGCCATTGTCCCCTGAGCTGACCAGTCCTGACTCAGCCCAGCTGTGGGGCTGAGAGGAGGATGGATTTGCTTGGGGCCTGGGCTCTAGGCTCTGGCAGCAGTGACCGTGGGAGAGGCTTTGAGGGGAGGGGAGGCGGGGGTAGGTTGCTGGGAACAGCTCAGAAACGAGCCTCGCACAAGCGCTAACATCCTGTGTGCTCTTGAGCTAGCCCTGGAACCTCCTCAGCCCATCCATCATTGTGGCATCCTCTCAGACCCTGGCCCTCTTCCTGGGGCCCGGGGGCGGCTCGAGGGGGGCGGGGGCGAGGACTGTCAGCATGGCGGAGACACCACAGCTGGCAGCTCTGCTGGCCTGCTCAGTGTCTGAGAGGGACAGTCACAGGGAGAAGGCGCCTGCAGCCCTCCTAATCCAATTTGTTTAGACCCAGCCTCTGAGGCTCGCTGTCTAGAGAGAGCGGGTTGGGTGTGCGCTGTGCTGGGCCGCACGTTTGCACACACGTGTGGGGCATGCAGAGGTGAACAGGTGTGCTGCGTTATGTAAACCAGGCCTGGGCTTCGTCACATGTTCCCGGAGTGTCAGCTCCTTGCTGGAGCGCTGCCTCCTCTGCTCGCCTCCAAGTCTTCGTCCACTTTTTCCATCCTCATGAGCTCGGGGGCCAGAGCTCCTCTCTGCAACTGACCGCGCCACTCTGAGTTTCTTTACCTCCCTGGGCCTCAGTGTGTCCGCCTGTCTTATGGAGCCATTATGTCATCCTGCCTGCTCCACACGCAGGGAACTAAAAACTGGCAAGAGTGGGAAGAACGAGATGGTAAAAACAACTGCTACAGTTTCTTGAGTTTTACCATGTGCCAACCATTCTGCACCTGGGCACACACCTGACCTCATGGACCCTCTGGAAACCCTGCGAGCTGGTTCTGTTATCACCAGGCTCCCACAACCCCAGGTATACCTACCTGTTTCTAGAGTCTGACCCTGTTTACTCCTTCCCAGGGAAGATTAGCATCATTCTCTATCGTTCCTCTGTGTCCTGTATTCTCTGGAGCACACAGGCTTTGCACTGCTAGTTTGTAGGGAACATGGGGTGGGTGGATTCTTGGCCCCGGGTTGGTTTTCCCTCCTTTGGCCTCACTTGTTTTCACCTACCGCCGAGATCCAGCAGCCCCGAATTGCCTGCACCTCTTCAATCAGCAGGGGCCTTCCTTCAACTCTTCCCATTTTGAGGTCTGGTTTCTTCGTCATTCTCAGGGTTGGGCTTGGGAGTGTGTCCTGTGGGACTGAGGTTAGTGCAGGAGCTTTCAGTGGGGCGGGGTGGGTGCTGGATGCGAGGAGGTGGCAGACACGCAGTTGTGTCCAGGGTCCCTGCTGCCTGCCCTCCCCTGGTCCTCAGAAGGCCCCTCTCTGGTGTGCTTGCTCCTCCAATGTCAGGGCTGTAGGGATGGCTCCCAACAGCCAGTGCCCTTGCCTGAAAGGAACAAAGCTACCACCTATCAGAGGATGCTGGGGTGCCCTGTGACCGGAGCTCTGGCCTTTGTAGGTCCGGACTGGGCTGCCAGGCTCCGAGGGTTGAGGATAGGCCTGGGGTGCTGCTGGATCCTCGGAAGCCTCAGGCTGAACCTGCTGAGATTTTCCAGGTCTCAAAGGGTCTGCTCCTCAGGCCCTTAGGCAGCCATTATTCAGGCTTCGCTTGCCTGGCTTTCAAAAGGGGCCTATTGAGCAGCTCCAAGGTCCATGTGATAGAGGGGCTCCCCTACTCTGAGCAAACCCAAGCTCTATCAGCAAAAGAACAGGTCTGGAAAGAAATTTCCGAGAGGCTCCTCTGACCCCACTTCTAGCCTCACTCATTGGAAAAGAGCCATGTAGGGATAGTTCAAAACCTGGGGCTTACATGGTAGCCAAGACGGAAGGGACAGCCCTGGGGCCACCTGCGACTGCTTCCAGCTGCGCAAGGTTTTCAGCCGCAAAAAGTTCCCTTCCATAACTCCAGACACATTCACAGCCACCGCTGGAGGTAGGGGTCACTTCCCCACTTACTGAGCTTCAAAGAGGCTCTTCTACGTACCCAGGCTCATCCGCTGGTGAGCATCAAAAGCCAGCTGGAACCCAGGGCCGCTCATGCTCCATCCAGCTGTCTCCTGGACTTGGGCAGTGGCCGGATGGATGACCACTAAACAAAGCTCACATCATCACGGTCGTTGCAAAAGCCCCTCTGCCCTCTCCTGGCCTTGCTCATTTCCAAGAAACGCAAGGGTCTGGGACCGGGCCACATCTGTGAGCCAGATGGTACTGCAGTGGGAGGGAGGCTTGGGCTCCGCGCTGGCTCACACATCCACACCCACACTGGCTCTTTCTACGGGGGCTTCCTTGCCCACTGTGCTCCCTCCTCGGCTCCCTGACACATGCTCACCTATGACAGCCTGGGCCCTCCTTGGGCTCCAGGGCCCTAGGGTTCCCACCACGTTTGGAAAGAACAGAGAAGACACAGGCCCCGGAGCCAGGCAGACCTGCTTTGGAATCTCACCCTAGCACTTTCGAGCTGTGTGATCTAGCCCTGGTGGCTTCACCTCTCTGGACCTTGGCTTCCGACCTCCCAGTTGTGTGTAAAGGTCAAATGTCAAGTGCAAGCACAGTTGCTGGAACATAGTCAGCCCACAATCAATGGCTGTCATTTCCACCATACGTACGGGGCTGGGCCCACAGTGAGGCCCAGATGCAGGAGGAGGAGAAGCAGAAAGGATGAGGCAGAGGCCCGAAGAAACACCCAGAGAAGACATAGAAGCCAGGGTGGGGGCCACCGAGCGGGGCCCTTTCCATGTCCCCCCTGTGTGTGGCTTCTCTGGGCCTCTGTTCCCAGAGTGCCCTCCCACCCCCTTAACACCCCAGCTGAGTTCACCAGCCTCACACGATCCCCACTTCCTCCCCAGGGAAGCTTGCTGCTGGGGACTTTTGAGCAAGCCCTGGGAACATAGTTTGAGACGGAAATAAGAGCGATGCAGGAAAAAGGGCACAGGGGGAAAGAAAAGAGGCCAGACCTGCCCAACCTAGAATCCAAAGCCCTGCTGGAGTAGCTGGGGCTCCAGGATGGTGGGGGGTGGGGAGGGGAGAGACCAGCATCCCCAGGACTCCCCATCACACCCTGTCCTTCCAGTGAGAACAGAAAACTGGGAAAACAGTGACAATGATAACAGTGACCACCTGTATCAGGCTTACATTGGGACTTGCTGTAATTAAATACTAGGTAACACCGGGTGTGACAGCTAACTCATTGGGTGCTTTCGATGTGCTCCACACTTTCTCAGTGCTTTATTTTACATCAGTTTTCTCATCTGATCCTCACACTGAGATATGAGTTAGGTACCATTCTTATCCTCACTTTTCAGATGAGGAAACAGGCTCTCAGAGGTTACTCCCTCCAGGTCTCACAGCTAGGAAGTGTCAGGATCAGAACTGGCTCCAGGGAGCCCCCCATGTATCTCCACGGCTCCCCTGTAAGACCAGACTCTCCCTGGCACTGTTTTTATAGAGCGACAACCTGAATCAGTATCTTATGGCATTTTGTCAGGTGTGTGCTAGTCTGTTTGGAAAGGCGTTTGTCAACAGAGAAGGTGTTTTCAGTAGAAGTGGAGGCCACGTGTGCCCTGGCAAGGATCACATGTCTCCAGGAGCAAAGGGACTTCTCATCTTCGTTGTTGTTATGCTTCTTTACCACAGTATTTCTCCCTCCCATGCTGTTTGTTTGTTAAAAAAACAAAACCGAAAACCAAAAAACATCACGATAAAGGAATTTGTTTTTCCTCTGTACTGTCCACTTTGCAAAGAACTGGGACCTTCAGAGTCCCAGTTTACTGGGACTGCGCGATGCCTTCTGGGTAACACAAATGTTGGTTTCTTTTGAAATGTGTTGGATGGGAAGAGCAGAATGTTAGGCACCAGGTCTCCTGTAGACATGCTGTGTGATTACAGACAAGTGTCTTCTCCACTCGGTGCCTCACCATGATGGTGGAGAGAGGACGGGACTCCATGGTGTCCAGAGTCCTCCCAGGGTCAGATAACGGGGGATGGTTGGACCCCACCTCACCCCCCTGGTATGACAGTCAGTGTGAAGGAAGGTAAATGGTCTGCATAGATCTGCATGGGGGGGGGGAGAGAGACAGACAGAAAGACAGACAGACACACAGACAGACACACAGACACGGGGCAGCAAGGATTGAGGCTGAGCCTCTCCAGCTGCCTCTCACTCCCCTTGCCCCCGTCCTACCCCTACAGCACAGCCTAAAGCAGGCCTCAGAGACCTGGACCAGGTGGATTTTCTACAGCAGGACTTGAAGTCTCAGAGCATTAGTGCTGGAGGCACCCTGGTCTCTCACCCGTTGTTCAGATGAGGAGACTGAGGCACAGAGAGGAGAAGCAAGGAGCCCAAAGCGATGCAGTCAGTCAGAGGTCCAGCTGGGACTGATCCCTTCTACTCACTGAGGGGTCCTAATGGGTCAGATCTTAACAAAGAGGCCCCAGAGGAAGGCAGGAGAGGGGGAGAACCTTTAAGTTCCTTTGGCTTTGAACATGGAATAATCATGACTTCCTTTTCTAAATATCTTTTGGCCCTTCCTAGAACCAGATGGCGGATGTTTGGAATTTATGTTGTAAATAGTGTTTAAGAAGAGAGTGGGGGTGCAGATGTGTTACTTTCTCCAACCACCAAAAACAAGATCTGGGGAGGGAATGGGGGTAGGAAGCTGACTCTGAGAAGATTTGGGGAGAAGTGACTGGGAAGGAGAAGAGAAAAGTGAGGAGAGAGAGAGAACAAAGACTAACTGAGTGATAGTGAGAGCAAGAAAGAGAGGAGTGAGAGAAGAAGGGAAGGGGAAGGAAGAGAAGGCAATGGGTGAAGAAGGAGGAAGAGGAAGAGAAGGTGGGCGAGGGACATGGGGAGGGGGCTCCCTGGTACAGGCTCCATCTTGAGTTCAGGAGCAAACGCTTGAGTTTTCTAAAAATAGCTCAGCCTTTCCCCCAGCGGGGCTGGCAGCAGGGACTGAGAGAGGCACGCTTGCCCTTTTATGGTAAGAAAATTCCAGATCCTCCAGAGGGAGCTGGGTTGGAGCTTGTAGTTCTGGATGAGGCCCAGCCCTGGGGTCGGGTGGGACAGGGCTGGGTGGGGGCTGTGACTTGGTGGGATTGCCTGGCCTGGGTGGCCCCACCCCCTGTGAAGAAAGGGCTGGGGTGGCAACCCTGGAGCCCCAGTGTTGGGGTGGAAGGGCTCCTAAGAGATATCTGGTCTACCCCATCTCTCTGTTTTATGAGAAGAACCTGAGTCCCAGAGAGCGGAAGAGATTATAGGCTCCCCACGTGAGAGTTTGAGGTGTCAAGGCCAACTGGTACCTGGGTCCACATGAAGATGGCTTACATGCCCATTATTTTGGAGGACAGTGTGGTCAGTGGAGAGAGCAAGCCGACCCAAGGCCCACTCCCAGTGTGAGCATGATTTTCTGTGTGACCTTCAGCAATCTGCTGAACCTCTCTGGTCTCAGATGCCCTCACTGGGATGCTCTGATGGGCCTTCCCAGATTTTTGCCTCTCTGGGAATTCCAGGCTGAGAAGCAGAGCTTGGGCATAGAGGATGCTGCTCCCAGGCAGAGGGCATTCTGCAGGCTGCTGTTTTCTTCCTGTGCCTGGCCTACTTCCTGTGCTGAGGCAAAAGCTAAGATGAACCAAGACAGAGAGAGAGGAGGCCGGTCCCACAGGAGACTGAGGTAGATCATGGGTGGAATCTCCGACGGTCCAAGCTGATTGGGCCCAGCCCCTCACTGGACACTGAGGCTAGAGAGGGCCTTATGCTCAAGACCATGCTCAAAGTCATGTGGAGAGCTGGGGAAGGGCCAAGAATCAAGGGCTTCCCCTCCCTCCTCTACAGGATGCCTCCCATCCACAGCAGTTGACAACTTTGGGGGCCATCTCTGGCCAGGAAAAGGACCTTCCTGGGCAGAGCTGCCAGAACTCAAGATATGCCTTCATTTTCTGACTACCTCTTAAAGACAGTTATGTCCTGGCAGGACACCCACCTTTCCTCTGTTCCCCGCCCTAATCTCCATCTCTGGCTAGAAGGCAGGGAATAAGCAAAGAAAGATGCATGGCTGAATGGCCACTCGGGCAATGTGGTCCTGGGCAGGTCTCTCCCTGTTGTTGGCCTTGGGTTCTGCATCTATATCATGAGGAGATGGCCCTGGTGCTCTTGCAGGTCCCCTCAGCTCTAACAGGACTGACACTATGAGTTTAGGATTCAACAGCAGAAAAGCTCATTAAGCATGGACCAGGTTCACCAGAGTGAGCGAGATGGATGTAGCCGTCCTCCGTAGCTTTACAGTCTCCTGAGGTGGGGACTCAATGCCCAAGCTTCCTGGAAGCCTCAATGCCAAGACCCTCTGTCCACCCTGGGAACCTGGGCTGTTTCTGACCTCAACTTGAATCCAGAGCTTAGGTAGCTCTGGTCTTGAGCATCCAGGAATGCCTGTTGGCCTGGTCGAAGTTCATGCCCGTCCTCCAGGACCTGCAGGACTTGCTAGTCTCTTGACTTTGCCCTTTCCTCTGCCCTATCCCACATGGCTGTCCACCTCCCCAGGCCCTGCCTGGTTCTCTTCCCCGCTCCCCCATCTCTCCATACCCGGTCTTTTGGTGACTCTGCCCAATGAAGAGGTTTGCTTTCCTCTTCCAGCCTCCTGTGATACCCGCACCCACTGCTGGGGGGAAAGGAGGAACAGAAAAGAAAGGGAGATAGAAATAAAGCATGTTGTTCTAAATTGGAAGCTTCCCTGTGACCCTCCTGGAATTTCCATGTAGACTATCTGGGGCGTGTGAACAGGGCTCCCAGGGATCCTGGTCCCCTCTGCCTCATTCCTGCTGGGTGGAAGGCCATCTGGTGAATGTTCCCCAGGGACCCGGTCTCACAACAAGGCTCTAGGTCTCTCTGGTCAGGCCTGGTGTTCCTTGGGAAGGGCAGAAGGCAACAGTAGGGTGAAAGGAAGTAGGAGGGAGGGGGGTGTCCCTAGAGGCCCTTGTGTGAAGTCAGGGCAGAACTGATGTCATGCCTAGCTGGGAATCTGACATTCAGGCAGCAGGGGGGGTTCAGCCCCATAAGATTATCCCAAGGCATCTACGGCTGTGAGGTAAAGTCCCAGGCTGGTTGTGGGAAAGGCCTGAAGCCCAAGCTCCTCTAATGTTTGACTTCTGTCTACAGGGTAGCTGTTAAACTTGTATACCGCTGGTGATGAGGGGCTCACTGCTTCCCAGGTACCTGCCTCTCTTTAGATAAGACTCTAAGAAGGGGACTCCTTCTTAATATCTCATTGACATCTGCCTCTCTGGGGCGGCACTCCCTGTCCTTTGGGGCTGTGAAGAACAAGTTCTTATTCTTCAGAAATCTCTTCAAAGGCTTGAAGATGGTGATGCAGCCTTCGGGCTTCCTACCCCTGATCCTACCCAAGGTCTCCTGTTCTGTTACTTGGCTTCTCAGGCACCAATGCCCAAATCCCCAGATCTCTCCCGTGCACGGGGGCTCTCTGCCTGCTGGTGTTTTGGGGAAGGGGACAAACAGGTTAAAGAAAGGGACACTCTCCCAGAGATAGATACCAAGGGAGACCTTTCCCACCATGTGATGCTTTAGTTTCCGGCTATCAAAGCCCTTCACCCACCAGGCCTTTCTGGTTTTGTCAGGCTCAAACCTCACGGAGCTTCTAGACCCACCCACAGTTCCAGCCAAACAGGCTTACTTGCTGTTCTCCTGAAGAAGTCTTTTCAGTCCTGCCTCTGTACCTTTGTACACAGAGCTCTCCACCTGGAATGGCTTCTCCTTTCTTCTCTGTCTATCCAAAGTGTGCCCCCTGCTACCTTGACCATCCCTACGCCAGGTTTTTCCTCCCTGGGAGTCTGGACATCTACTGTCATACCTGGGATGACCTGAGCTGTCCCCCTTCCATCCCATATCATGCAACAGCACAGGCTGAAGGTCTCAGAGGAACAGAGGAGCATACCCTAGGATACTGACTGCAGAACTAGGCCCAGAGTCGATGTCTGTTCTTTCTCTTTCTTCTCGTCTTGTTCTGCTTATCTTAGCAGACGCCCTTGGACTCAGCGGGGTTGTTGGGTCACATGCCTGAGGTCTGGCAGGCTCCAGGCAGACTGACCAGTGGCCTCTGAGCCCAGCAGCCCAGACAGGGGCGGTGTCATGGCCCCTAAGGATGCCATCCCGAGGTGCCAGCCTCCCTCTGGACACTTCACTCCATTCCTGTTTCTCTGAAGGAGAGGACGGAGGGTATGGGGCCGAAACTAGTGGCAACTGAGCAGTGTCCCCGGGAAGCTTGCAGAGTCCAGTGTGTTCTCTAGTGTGGGGCTTTTCCGTCTCCCTTGGACTAGGGCTTGGGTCTTTGAGGAGGAGACCGAGGCTTGTGGCTAGTATAGGCTCTTGGGGAGGAGCCGGGGTGCGGCTGCGTCCTCCATCCTTGGCCTAGCTGACTGCCCCTTCCTTAAATCTCTGATGGGCTGTGCCAGGCAAGGGGCAGCTCAGGAGTGATGGGGCCCTCAGGGTTCTCAGCTGCACTAAGGGCTGCTCATTAGAGAGAAGGATTGTTTTGCCAGGGTCTGAATTTTTGCCCCTGAGCAGGTATGGGGGTGGGAGGGGGGCTGCTCTTTCTATTCCTTTATGATAACAGTGCCTAATCTAGAAAGAAGCATCAGGCTTCAATGGCACCCCCAAACACCAAGAGTTGGTCCCGCTAGGCAGGGTAGAACCAGAGCTGGTTCTTGCGCCCAGACTCATGGGGGTGGTGCCAGGGTGCAAGCACATGGCTTCTGTAGTGAGCTAGACTTGGGTTTGATCCCCAGCTTGGCCTCTTACCAACTGTGTGACTTTGGGCAAAAGATTACACTTCTCTGAGCCTCTGGATTCCCAGACGGATAATGGTACTTACCTCAGAGAATGCTGGGCAAAAAGGCAGGGCGCTTGGCGAGAGTTAATATGTGGCAGATGTTATTTTGAAAGAAGAGTTTATCCCCCAGGTGGAAAGGGAAGCTGAGGCCTGCTCCAGTACCTCCGCCTTTCCTTTAGTAGTCCCATTTTTGCACTTATTTTTTTTATTGAGCGTTTACTATGGGCCAGTCACTGTTCTGAGGGCTTTATGAGTTTTAACGCATTTCATCCAGACAGCTCAGTAACCTAACGAGACAGGCATTCTTATCATGTCCAGGGCCACACAGTTGCTACGAGGTAGATCTGAGATTCAGACCCAGGCAGCCTGACTCCCATCCGGCCCCTTTAGCCACCAGCTTACTGCGTCTTAGTCCCACTCGAGCGGCACTCTGACCTCCGCCTGGTCACCTCATCGTCTGGGCACAGGGATGCACCCCACATCTGAAAGCTCCCTGGCTCCCGAGTCAGCCTCCATTTCCTCACCCGAACAAAAGGGGCCTGAGTGAGTTGGTCTCCGTGGGCCACGATAGCGGGTGATTCATGCTGTGCATTAAAGCATGTTTTAAATTGGAGAAAAGGTTTCTGGTGGTGAAGCATCGCCACCAACAAGCCTCTTTTGCAAGAGGGGAGGGTCTGGTTCTGGTAATGTGTGGTGAAGCCCCACGGGGCCTGTCTAGACAGGCCCTTAGGAGGCGGCAGCCACGGGCTCTTTCCCCTGAATTCCTGCAGATCATCCCACAGGCGACCTCTGATTGGACGATGGCCACAGCACACTGCTGGGCTGGGGGAGGGCTACACAGCCAGTGCCCACTGCCACCCCAGGGCCTTCAGCGCACTCTGCACTTGG